TGCCAATTTTTTCACTTTAAAAGATTAAGATTTATATTATGTGAATATTTCTTCAATTAAAACTTGTTTTGAAAGCAACAGACTATACAATGTGATACAAATGAAGAAAACAAACCTTGAAATTACTGAAGCTTGGGCTAAACACAGGTTGCAGCAGACAATACACATAAAGCTCTCACCATAGTAGTCAGCACATCAAAAGTACATAATATGTAGTAGATTGGAGTATTTGCATGTTTCTTTTCTTTTTTTCTTGGTCTTTTTGAGAAACGGTCTCCCTGTAGCCCCAGCTGTCCTGGAACTCACTATGTAGACCAGGCTGGCCTTGAACTCACAAGAGATCTGCCTGCCTCTGCCTCCCGAGTGCTGGGATTAAAGGCGTGCACCACCACGCCCAGCACTCTTTTTTTCTTTTTTAATATTCCTCAAGTTAAGTGCCTATGATTTTCAGTAAAAGCATTATCCTTAATTCGGGATTGTGTTATCTCATGGCTAAATCACTGTAACAAACAGTTTCTTAGCTGGCCTAGCAGCACTTATCTCCATCCCTTCATGGCCTACTTAACAAGGCCAGGTAATTAATTACCTGTAACCTCACTTCTGTCATTCCAATAGTAACAGCCCTCTCATGCAATTAAGGACCCAGCACCCAAGGCTGGCCTCACCAGGTCACCCCACCCTCTTTTTCTCCCAATTTACTTATCTTTTCAAGGAATGTTCCCTAGAGGATATTTGGGCTTGTTTGATTTGGTTTTGTTACTTGTCTAATTCTGTACTGTACTAAGAATGCAAACACAAGCCATGCACGTTGGTGCACAACTGTAATCAACTGGGGGGTGAAAGCAGGAGGAGCAGGAGTTCAAAGTCAGCTTAACATAGATGAAACTATCTCAACAAACAAAAACAAAAAGAAACAAGAAGAATGCAAACAAATTCTGTTAGGGATTCTTATCTCACCTCACACTAGAGTCTACTAAGAGAAGGCCATGTAGAAATTTAAACGTGAGCCATGCAATGGAATAAAAATGTAAGGGCATGGAAAACAAGTTAATACAGCTGAAAAAGGAGTAGGAAAGTGTAATGGTTAATCTGGGCAACCTGACTGGTTGAGAAGTACCTAGGAGACCAGTGAAGCACACCTCGAGGAACATCTGTGAGGTGCTTCCAGAGAGGATTAACCAAGAAGAAAGATGTACTCGTAGACTGTAGGCCCTGATGGGGAAAAAACGGTGCAAGCAGAAAGCCATCTAGCACACAAGTTCTCTATTTTCTCATTGCTGCCCTGCTCCCACCAGGCCTTCCTCACCATAATGGACCAAAACTTCTATACCATGAGCCAAAAACAAATCCTTCTTCCCTTAAGTTTTTTCTGTCAGATGTTTTGTCAAGCACAAAAGACTGTCTAACACAAAAAGGTGTGAAGAATTACAAAGAAGATAACTTACAAGAGGTCAGATCTGAACGGGATTTAGTGGATGACCACAAATAGCTAATTTCCAGATAGGAACTGTACTCAATTTACATCTTAACATGAACTCAGTTAAGAAAAAAAACTAACAACTCTAGTTCCAGGGGATCCGCCATCTTCTTCTGGCCTCCACGGGCACTGCACAACACAGGTGTACATGCAGGCAAAAAACATTCATACACATAAAATAAAGATTAATTAAAATTCTTAAAAAGAAAAAAAAAAAAACAGCCAAGTGCTACCCCCTTCACAATATATCCTGCAACTTCATCCTACTATTTTTTCCAACTGTGGATCAAATAACCAGTTATGACCTACAGAATTAATTCTCAAACATCAAATATTTTAAAAAGAAAAGATACCGGGTGAGTGTCATAGGCCACAGGTAGTTCCAGGCCAGCTGGGGCCACAGGAACACCCTATCTCAAAAAAAACAAAAACAAAAGAAGAGAGACCAGCAGTTCTAATTTGTTGTTTGGTATAAGAAAATCTTATTGGAGGTTGTAGCAATGGCTCAATGGTTGGGAGCACTGGCTATGCTTAAGGAGAACCCATGTTTGGATCCCAGCACCCACATGATAGCTAACAACATCCTTAACTATGGTTCTAGGGGCTCTGATACCCTCTTCTGGCCTCTGCAGGCATTGCACAACACAGGTGCACTTACATACATGCAGGCAAAGCACTCACACAAAGAAAATAAAGTAAATAAAATTTTAAAAAAAGAAAACTCTTATTTTGTTCGCCTTTTTTGTGTGCATGTGGTGATGGTGATTATACTGGGGATTGAACCCATGGTCTCTCACATGCTAGCAAAGTCCCGGTTCTGTTTCTTTGGAGAACCCTGACTAATAAGGTTGTGTTGTGATATTCAATTCCAACTGGTGCTACACTGAGCTGAAAACTTCACAAACTCCAGCACTTAAAAAAAGAATACCTCTTAATTAGCTTCAGAGTACAAAGGAAATACAACCCAACGAATCATTCTGTAATATTCAAAAAGTCCCTCTGAGAGAGCTGTTTTAAGGGAGTGATGCTAAATAGGTTGACCAGGCTCCAGTGGATGAACTCACAATGAAGGACATTTGGGGACACAAACTTTGCTCAATAGGCCTTACTTAACATATATGACAGAATGCATGAAACCCAGTGAGGGGGACCTCAAGGGGTGTGTGCAGATAGGGGTGGGTGTCTAAATATGACCCAGATATATTGTATGAAATTTGCATAAAAAACGAGAGGGAATTGTATTTAGTCCAAAAACCTACTGGAAAAGTATACATACAATATCTATACATGAGTCTGTGAGTACAGCTGAAGACTACCTAACAAGAAACAGTGCCAGAGAGGAGAAACCTTCCTTTGAGTTGTTGGCCAGGGTAGTCCAAGAGACTCCCAAAATTACACAGGCTATTGCCACAGTCTTTGATTGTCTCCCAGAACTTGATGATAAGACCATATTGCTGAAGACAGGACATACTTTGAACACAGAATTTGGAGCAATGGAGCTGGAACTGAACTGGAAGCCACCTCGCCGAAGGTTAGCTCTCATAGCTTTGGAGAGCACTATGCAAGCTGCTAAGGGAGAACATCAGTCAATGGTCCAACCCCAGCTTCAAGGCCTAAAAAACCACACCAGTGACCAGCACAGCAAATGACATTGGTGCAGTAGTGGCACTTTTATCTTGGGGGTAATCAACAGCTATTTAATTGGACTTAAACCCACTCAATGGGAGGAAATTCATGTGGGGTACTGTAAACCTAGCCAAATACACATAGCTGGAGAGGTCATAGATCTTGAAGAAAACTCCAAGGCTGTCACATCCCTAGACAAATGTAATATGGATCCTTAAATCTATAGACAAGTATCCCATCAAAAGAAGCTTCTTTCTCAAGAGAGAGATAATTACAGAGTTCCACAACTGGTCACCTACAGAGACTATCTGTGAACTGCCCAAGTCTAAGTGGCACTTCAAGGATGCCATCTCTATATCTAAGGCTCATGGAACAAAGAACAAGGGATAAAGAGAACACTAATGCATCTTTCAGTTCTCATCAATGAAGCTCTGTCATGCAACATAGGGCAGGAACGCAAAGGTCACAAATGGCCAAAATGCAGAGAGTAAGAATAAAAGTCTGCAGACTGTGGGTCCTTGGACAGGACTTCTATATTAAAATCCACCCACCCAGGGCTCAGGGACCATTGCAGAAGAAGGGATGGAAAGATTCTAAGAGCCAGGGAGGTAGTGCATGACCATATGGAAATAGTTCTACGGGCGCCTATGACTCTTCTCATATGAACCTACAGCAATGGTATCAGCATGCACAAGACCCATGTAAACTTAAGCAGACAAAAAGCCAGCACAGAACTGTGAAAACGAACAGCAGGTCCCAATCTTAGTCAAAGAATTATTGGCAGCTGATTTCTGCTGCTGAGAAAGAGCTGATCTTCTTAAAGGGAGGGACTCTACATAGGCTGACCAGATCCCAGTAGATGAACTTTTATCTGGGGACACTAACTTTACGCAATAGACCTTTGTATGAACCCCAGTGGGAAGGCTATGGGAGGGTGCCAAAGGGGAAAGGGATGTAAAGATGATTTTCTGTATGAAATGCAAAAATTCAATTTAAAAAATTTTTAAGAAATTTGCAAAAATTCAATTTAAAAAAACTACAGTATTGGGCCAGACTGACAACACAGTCTGTAGATTACTCATTCCTGTTCTTAGCTCCAAATAATTTATTTTCCTTCAATAAACGCCATGATTCTAGAATGTTTAAAAAAGGGGGGGAGGGGTGGAGAGATGGCTCTGCGGTTAAGAGTACTGACTGCTCTTGCAGAGGACACGGGTTTGATTCCCGGCACCCACATGGCGGCTACGAACCGTCCTTAACTCCAGTTCCAGGGGAATCCAAGGCCCTCTTCTGACCTCCGCGGCACTGCACGACATAGGTGCACTCACATACATGCAGGCAATACACTCCTACACATGAAATAAAAATAATAAATTAAAAAATATTAAAATACAAGTGATTAAGCCTACACCTTACAAGGATAAGATTAGACATAATGGGGCTAGGTGTGATGGGGCATGTCACTGATTCCAGCAGATCAGTGGAAGCTGGAGGCATGGTCCACACAATGCATTCCAGACTACCCAGGGCTACACAGTGAGACCCTGTTCCAAAAAATAAAAGACTAGGTGTAATCTACAAAAATACCAGAAGCAGGCCATATGCTTACCGTGATTTGTATTGCATGCTTTGAGTTGGCAATACTGACTTCCCTCTAGGTTCCCTAAAATCTATTTCCTTCTCCTGTGTCACTTCCAATACCAACTACTCTCAGACCCAAACTCCCTGCCATCTACTTCTGGGGTCCCTGGGGCAATAAACTTCCTCTTATGTCAATCTCTGTTCAGGAAGAAAATACTCACTGCTTATGACTCAATGATCATCTGATAATTACCACGTTGATTCTTGCTTCAATCTAGGGAACTTTAAACAAAACCTCAGGAAGTTTGATTTTTGGTAGGAAGAAGGTAAAAACAATTTCCCATTCACAAATTGCAGTCAAGTTTCCCCAATTTGGGGAAATTGCAATGGTCAACACATCTAGAATACAATGGGTGAACATTGCCCTGAAAAAAACCACCTTCATGATCACAGTGCCTCCCATTGCCAGACTCTCTAGATCAAGATTTTAAAATCACAAACTTCATTTTCTTAAACACATGGTCAACTATCAGGAATCTGCAGGGCTGTCTCCATCAGCTCTCGTCTTCAGTTTGCCTGAATCCTGTATTCACTCAACTTTTCTTCCTCATGTAGCCCTCCTTGGGAACAGTAAGCATTTTTGTTTTGGTTTGTTTTAGTTTGCTCTTTTGGAGAGAGTCTCTCTGTAGCCCCAGCTGGCCTGGAAATTGCTATTTAGACCAGGCTGGCCTTGATCTCACTGAGCTCTGACTAGATCTGCCTGCCTCTGCCTCCTCAGTGCTGGGATTAAAGGAGTGCACCACCATACCCGGCTTAAGGGGGAACAGTAAACATCTTATGAAAGGCATTTTGTAGGGAAAACCAGGCAAAGAAAAAACATAGTACAATTTTCTGTGTGTACAGTTAAATATTTAAGATTGCTGAGAGACAGATAAATGGCAAGGGACCTACAGAGATGGAATGGAATTGGCACTCACATGGGGCCCTTCTGAGGGAACAGGACTACAGTACAAATCTGTCAAGAAAAGGCTGAAAGAAAGGTGAAAAGGGGAAGGCCCTAACTTATAGACACACCACAATGTGCTATATAATTTATATATATCAGGTCGTGACTTAGGAGTCATCTCCACTATCAAGTGAAGACAGTAAGACTCAGAAAGGTTAAATGAACAAGCAAACAGCCACAACTGTAACTGTTCTTTCCATTACATGCTACAGTGGTTTAGAGCAGAAAAGCCTTTCTTCTCTCTAAGGCCAGGCAATGGGAAGATACGAACAAGCCAGTCTGCAGAAGAGCTTACCCAAATGATTCCTCTTCTGGCAAAGGAAAAAAACCTGTTGTTATCGCCCAGTAATTCCAATATAGAAGAAAAGTGATGCTTCTTAGACTTTAATGTGAAGACTGAGTGCCTTGTTAAAATGCACGCTCTGGAAATCAAATCACAGTGGGTCTTGCATGGCACCTGCAATTCTCACATGTCCAAGAGATGAAGCTTTGGGTACTTAGTCCATACTCTGAATAGATTATTACTCTGAGTGGGTCTCAATCCTAGCTGATAATGGGGCAACCATTTAAAACTACTGAGTTCTGGGCCCTTTCCTTCTGGGTCCCAAGGTATATGGAAAAATCCCGTATTGATTTTAGTATCATACTGGGCCAACTAGACTACACTATCTCAAGATGAAATTCTAACTTATAGTTCTTAATTTCAAGAAATGTATTTTTGTTTTTGCACGTATCTATGTTGTGTGTGCATGTGTAAGCGTGTTTCCATGTGTGGATACACATGTACAGGTGTGTACACAGGTGTGGGGGTGTGCTCGTGCATGTGGAGATTTTAAGATGATAGCAACTGTCTTCTTCAATTGCTTTCTGCATTATTTATCGAGGCAGGGTCTCTTACTGAACCCAGAGTTCATAAGTTGTGGCCAGTCTAGCTAGCTAGTTTGCTCCAGGCTGTCACGCCTGCTTTTACAAAGCTGTTGAAGATTCAAATTCCAATCCTCATCTGCACAGTAAACACTTTATCCACTAAGCCATTTCCTCCAACCCTGTTCTGCTTTTAATAATTCTTTAATAAATTTTATTTATATACTTTGGGGAGGGTAGATATCACAGCATACATGTGAAGGTGAGGGAACAACTTGCAGGAGTCTGTTCTGTCGTATCATGTGGGTTCTTCAGATCAAACTCGGGTTCATCTGGCTTGACAGTCTCCCTCACTGAGCTACCTCACTGGCCCCTATTTTGCTTTTTGACAGAGAGGGTCTCTGTATACAGTCAAGGTGGCCTGGACTTGACATATAGCCCAAGCTGGCCTCAAACTCATAACTGTCCTGCCTCAGCCTCCTCAGTGCTGGGATTCCAAGAGTGTTCCATCATACCCAGCTAAGAAAAATGCAATTATTAATGAAAATAGACAGCAAGCACTAACTGAGAAAACATCAGAAGTCTGAATGTTTTACGTATTAGCTTACTCTACTCTCGAATTGCACTCAAGTCTACTCTTACAGCATCGTCATTCTCATTTTATGTATGTGGGGAAAATGCACCAAGAGACAGCAGCTTGTCCAAGGTCAGGGAGTGACCAGCGAAACAGAGGTTCAGACTTGAGTCAATGTGATTCCAGTATCTGGGCTCTCAGACATACCACTGACACTGAACACTTGAGTAAATAAAGCCAAGCGGGTCACCTCAGAAGATATCATCCTGGAAAGGCAAATGCTCTTAGTCCACATGTTACCATCATTCAAAACATCACTGCTGAACTACAGTGTCCAAGAGCTCTGAATACAGAAATGCCTTCAAAACTGAATCATGCTTGAAACAGCTTTAGCTGGGATACAAATTTGATTGAGTATGGATTTGATTTTCACAAGACGAAATCAGGAAAAGCTAATTCTGATCATGATGCATTTTTAGTGGTAAATTCAATGTTAGAAATGGAAAATGTTTCCATATCACTCGTCTCTGAAACGGACTCCGAATCAGAATTCTTTATGCTTTGCACAATGCTTGTGTCACCAGAGCCAAGGTGACTATTTGAAGGACAATGCTCCTTTGGATGCACAGATGCTGTTACATTTGTTTTCTTTTGAAATCATCCTTTTAGCAATAGCTAAACATGCATTTGTCCTTCACCACCAACATAAGCCTGCGTATGCTCAGAACAGTCGTGAAGCTTGCAGCCTTCCTTTCTGCTGCAAAAGCAACGTCTTTGATTCCAGATTTTAATCCATATGAAAATAAATACTATAATTAAGCATTAATGAAGCATTTAACTGCATGGAGCACATAAAATGAACTGTACAAAGGCAATTAACTATATATCTAAAATATGCATACAAACATCTGCACAGATGAGGGATAAAGGCATACACAAATACTACAGGGATTTAGCTATAAAAAGATATTACATTTTTCTATCTGATGAGCTCCTTTGTTGAATATATCCTTTCTTAACAAAGAAAATGGTCTGCAAATTCAGAATGATTTATGATTTTCTTTCTTTCTTAAATCAGGCATTACTATGGATAAGCCCAATTTCACACACCCTCTCCTTGAACTGGACTCCCCACATCCTACTAAGGGCACAGATCCCCTGTACAAACTCCCCCCCACCCACCCACCCACACACACATACACACACACACACACACACAACTCCCCACCAACCTCACAGGGGTTCCTGGGCTGGTCCATGGAATCTGATGACATCACTCTCTCTTCCTTCCTGGAATTCTAAACCCTGCTGCTCTCCCCTTGCACACAGCTACCATCTCCATGGCAACCTCACCTCCTCCTGCTTCCCTATTGGCTTCATGGAACAGGATACACAAAAAGGTTTTCCGTTATGGCCCCACTGCCCGTCCCCCCAAAAAATGATGCTTCCAACAGGAACCTCAGCTAAATTTAGCTACTTGGGATTCAGAGTCTTATGACTAAGAAAACAGAAATATCCTCCTCTTCCTACATTCCACACTTCCCTCAACCCCACCCCAAAGCGGGTGTTTCACCTTCTCTCTGGCCCCCAACCCAAAAGCAAACAGCAGTATCTACTGAACCTTAAAAGCAACCAGACTGCCTAACCCACATACAAGGCTGCCACAGGGAAAATTCTCTCACTCACCTCCTCCCATCAGAAGAGGAAAAAAAGACAGAACAAAAAGAAAATCACACCCAAAACTAGCTGGGGCATTTCATGCACAGACCATCAGTCTCTGCTGCCTCCTTCCACCTCAAGTCAAGGAGCGGGAATGCCATGCCTAACGGCAGAATAGTATCTGCCCTTCAAGACAGAATTTTCTTTCTATTTGCTGGATATGTCTTCCATCATAGAAGAAATGGAGGTGGGGAAGTGAGGTAGAAAGTCTACACACTCCTATGACCACAGACACTAAGTCTCGAACTGAAAATTCTGGGTCTGAACTCTGATTTTCATCTCAGAGACTGACCAACTATGGAAACTAGAATTAGTTCTCACACACTTCATCTAAAAAGTAGCTCCCACACAGTGATGTTCTAAGAATTTCTGACAAAATTAACACAAAGTAGTTTAGGTCCCTGAGCCAAAGGTACTGAATAAGGAGAGTATGGTGACACCATGATTAGCAAAATTCTGCTAGAAGCAGAACATGAGTTTCTAGGAAATCACCATTTCATAACAATCATAGCTCTCTACAAAATGCACATCAGTTCTCAAACACCTCTTATGAAGGTTAAACCTAGTACCTGGAAAAAAATGAACCAATTTGTGCCTAGTACTCATTCTGAAGCTGGCCCTATCCTCCCCCTCCTTTTTTTTTTGAGACAGACAAGAAGGTGTGGATGTCAGTGCTTCACCCTGCTTTAGTTACTTCAGGAGGCCAATGAGAAGCCAATGCTTTTCAGTAAAAGCAGCTTATTTTACTTACTTACTTATTTATTTATTTATTTATTTATTTATTTATTTTATTTATTTTTATTGAAAGGGTCTCCTTGTAGCCCCAACTGGCCTGGAACTCACTATGTAGACCAGGCTTGGCCTCCATCTCAGAGACCCACCTACCTCTGCCTCTCGAGTGCTGGGATTAAAGGTATACGCCACCATGTCTGATTCTATTTCATTTCTTAATCCAAACTCTAATTCTGAAATGGCTCTCACTCTCCCTAAGTAATGTGTGAATAGGAGGCAGAACTTTGTTTCTCAGTTCAGCTGTCCACATCCAATTCAGGGAAGAAATTCTTCCTAGAGCCATATTGCTCAACATTACATCAAATCAGTGGCTATGTCCTATATGACTCTGAGGAACAAAGCATAAATTGTGACCAAATAGGAATGGCTCCAAGCATGTCCAGGTCTTGTAGTAAGAAAGAGGATGGGTATTACTAAGACACACCCAAGAAAACTGTAGTTTTAGTGTGGGGGCAGAGCTCCAGAGTACCCTCTTTTCAACTAATAGAGAACCTAGAATAAGTTTCCCAAGTGCAGTGG